ATACGATGAAGTCGACTGTTCCTGTTCATTGATTCTTCTTTCTCAAAATGCCAGGTAGTAGTAGATCTGCGAAGCATTAGGATTCCAGGGGTGGTATTCCCCAGAGGGCTTTGGTCCTCTTGGCTCTTGGCACCAAGGGGGTACAGCGATATAGTGGTCTGCTTCCCCTAGACACTGTGTACTTGAATACAGATTTGCTTCACCAGCCTCAGGGGAAGGATCCAAGTCCAGAGGAGATGCTTGCCCTAGAGCTTGAGAGAGAGAGAATATTTATGAACCCTTTCCATGGATTCTCATCTTTAGGGAACCTTTGAGACGATCTTCTTCTGCACCCCAGCACCTCTTTCTGGGTAGTTTCAACAGAACATTTTGGCCTCTCCCTTCCTCAGTCTCCTGCCAGATCGCTTTATTATAATCAGTGGTCAACTTCTATGATCCGTCCATCTATAGCTTCATCTCATTCATTCAGAGACCAAATTCTGGCTTCTTTCTGTGAAATAAAAGTCAGACTGAAAATGAAAGGTGGGGAAAAAAAATTTAAGTTTTCACAAAAAGAGATTGCTTAACTCTTAACTCCCTTAACTGATATGCTTTAGTAAGCACTGACCTCAAGTGGTTCAAGCCTACCAAGCCTCTCCTGAAAAATCCCTATTCAGGGTCACACTGAGTTGGAACTGACTTGAAGGCACGTATTAATAACAACAAAATTTCATGTCTAAGCTGTTGTTAAGTGCTATCTAGTTGGTTTCAACCCATAGCAACCTTGTATAGGGTTTCCAAGGAGTGGTTGGTGAGTTTGAAGTGCTGACCTTGCAGTTCAAACCTACTTAGCAGTTACGAATTGTGTTAAATGAGACACCTGTTTCTGAAGGTAGGTAGTCTAGTGCTGCTGTAAGGACTCCACAGTCAACAGGCACCCGGATACCTTCCATTTCTTGAATCCAGTATCCTCACACATGACTTCCTTTTTGATGTCGCTTTGTAGTTCAAGATTGCTGCTGCTGTTTTGCTCCAACCATCACATCTGTATTCTCAGCACTGTTGTTAAGTGCTGTTAAGTAGACTCTGTTCAACTCATAGCAACCCTGTATAAGGTTTCCGAGGAGTGGCTGGTAAGCTTGAATCACTGACCTTCCATTTCAAAAGGCCTCACTAGCTTAAGCAAAGCAAATTCCATTTATGTCCGTCTTCCTGGAGTCCCTTGAAACATTCCTATTTACATTTTATAAACCAGACTTGGTATGGTGCTGTAGGATAGGCATTGGACTACTAACTGCAAGGCTTGACAGTTCAAACCCACCAACAACTCTCAGAAACCCTATTCAGGGTTACTATGAGTCAGAACCAACTGGACAGCACATAACAACAAGGATCCCTGGTGGCACTGTGAGTGAGGCATCGGGCTGCTAACTGCAAGGTCGTGGGTTCAAACCCATCAGTTGTTCCGTGGGAGAAAAATGAGGCTCTCTGCTTCCATAAAGTTTGTATTCTCGGTTCAGGGTGCAAGTCCCCTTACAGATACCTCAGAAAAAAGGTACGGCAGTCTACTTTTCAAAAACAGCTATTGAAAACCCAGTGGGGCGCAGTTCGACTCTGCATGCATGGGGTCACTATGAGTTGGAATTGACCCGATGGCCGTAGATATTTTTGGTAACAGACAGACTTTGGTCACTTGGCCACATCTGGTTTAAAGGGGAAGTTGGGGGTTGTATTCCCTTGGCTGGGCTTCAGTGGTGCAGTTAGTTGTTAAGAGCTCAGCCGCTAACTGAAATGTCTCTGCAGGAGAAAGGTGTAGCAGTGAGCTTCCATAAAAATGGCAGCCTGGAAAGCCTCTTGAGGAGCTATGCGGTGGAATGGACCCAACAGCCATGTATTGGGGTTCATACTGACACCAAATAAACTTGGGGGTTTGTGCAATGCCTGCCATAGCTGCTTCTTGTTCTTAAGTGCCATCGGGTCAATTCCAACTCATACCAACCGTGCATAGAGTTTCCGAGGCTTTAAATCTAAGCAGGAGCCACATGTGCTGTGGGTTAATGCATCAGACTGCAAAGCTGTCTGAACAACAAGGTCGGCGGTTCAAGCTCATCAGCCACTCCTCAGAAACTCTATCCAGGGTCGCTATGGGTCGGAACTGACTCTACAGCACTTAACAACAACAACAAGGCATATATAGTAAATTATACCACCAAAGGGCACATTCTGCTAGTCTGCCTACTGGCCGCCATCTCATAGTCTGTCTCTTCCCATGAATCTAGAGTCCTCAGCTACTCCCCCTCTCCATGTCCTCATCTCTGCCTCCATCTTTGGTGTCGCTGTTTCTCTGGATAAGGTCCCGCATTCTGCTTGTGCTCTTCTCTCTTGATGGTCCTAGGGTCCTTTGTTTCTGTACTGTAAGATTAGCCACTCCCCCATTTTTGTAACAAAACTTCTACTTTTATAATTGTGACAGTCACAATTAGTCATGATAACAATTACTCGCTATTGAATAACAACCTTATCTCCAACTCTTTTAATCAGAACCATCCAGACAAGATGAAAAGTAACTTTAAGACAGATCTTGTATGTTCTTTTTTAATGATGAATGCAACACCATTCCTCCTCAATTTATCATTCCTGGCATAGTAAACCATGTGATTGTCAGATTTAAGATGGCTATACTAGGCATTTCAGCTCACTAATGCCTAGGATATCGATGTTTATGCATTCCATTTCAGTTTTTACAATTTCCCTAGATTCATACTTCGCACATTCCAAGTCCCGATTGTTAATAGATGTTTACAGCGGTTTCTCCTCATTCTGAGTCGTGCCCCATCAGAAAATGAAGGTCCAGAAGGCTTTACTCCATTTGTGTCATCACGGTCAACTCTACTTTGAGGAGGGAGTGCTTCCCCAGTCGTATTTTGAGAGGTTTCAACCTGAGGGCCTCATCTCTGTCACTAACATTGGCAGTATCCTGGCGCTCTTCATTTTGTTTATTCAATATTCAATGTCAGTGTTCCACTGCGATTCACAAGGTTTTCAGTGACTAAATATTCAGAAGTGCTCCGTCTTTTCTTCTTCCTAGTCTGGCTTCATCTGGAAACTCAGCTGAAACCTGTACACCATGAGTGACCCTGCTGATATTTAAAATACCCGTGACATAGCTTCCAGAATCACAATAAGACACAATCTACCACAGTGTGACACACTGACAGACGAGTGGTGGTTGTGGTTAGCAGTCCAGTGCTTAGCCTACAGCACCACACCAGGACTCCTCTGTAGTTACTTTTTGTAAAAACACTGACACACAAAATATTTCTTTAAATTTTTTCCCTCTGCCCTTATTTACTTAGAAGAGAGAGGGAATGTGATACATCCCCTCTTTTCATACTTGTTGGAGTTTTTCCAACTGACTGGCCTAATGATTTCATACAGGAGTGGATAAAACAGTCCCCTACAACATCATATACTACCTTTGTCTAGATGTCGGATCTAATAGTTATTCTTGGATATCTGGGGGGTGGAGGAGGATAATCAAATCGTGACATTGATCTTCAGTTTCAGTTATTTAAAAATGACTTTCTTTTCTAGCATGGGCACATTCATAGATAGAACTCGATGAGTGGTCACCATGGGTAGAAGGGAGGAGAATGGGAAGTTAACTGCTGAAAAGGTGCTGAGGTTCTGTGTGGGATGATGACAAGCTTTTGAAAATGGATAGGAGCAATGGTCACACAACATGAATGCAATTAATGTCACTGAATTGTACCCCTAAAAATGGTTTCAAAAGTATTTTACCATAATCAATTTCTTTTTAAAGGGCCTTTTTTTTTTTTAACCTATTAGCGTAGTGGTTACGAATCAGGCTGTGAACTGTAAGGTCAGTAGTTCGAAACTACCAGCGGTTCCGCGGGAGAAAGATGAGGCGTTCTGCTCCCGTAAAGATTTACAGCCTTGGAAACCCTGTGCAGGGTTGCTATGAGTCGGAACCGACTTCACGGCACTTAACAACAACAACAACAACAATTATGGTGGGAAGGAGCTCTGGTAGCCTAGTGGTTACGAATCGGGCTGCTAACCTTAAGGTTGGCAGTTCGAAACTACCAGCTGTTCCGTGGGAGAAAGATGAGGGTTTCTGCTCCTGTAAAGATTTACAGCCTCGGAAACTCTGTGGAGGGTCGCTATGGGTCGGAACCGACTCCACGGTACTTAACAACAACAACATTATGATAGGGACTGTGGTGAAATTGCCCCCTTGCTCCTCTTCTAGCCCTCCCCTACCTTCTAATTGGCTTCTGGGCCTGACAGGTGGGGAAGAGGTAGGCTGCCTGAAAAGTTTGCAGAAGTTCCCCCAGGTGACCTTGGTGCACCCCTACTGCTATAGCATGACTAACAGCCCCCATTTAAACTAGGTATCTGCTAAGTCCTTACAGCCCCATCTCACCCTGCCCCTTCCCCCCCTTCCACCTCATCCTATGGAAAAATAATAAACTTCTTACAGAAAAACCTTGAAGATCAGAATGACCCAAGGACACCTGAACAAACAGGATAAAACTTAGCCCATCCAAACAAACAAGATAAGAGTTTATTGGTGGGTTTACTCCCACTTACAGCATAAGGGTCCGCTGGAATTTACCACCCTAGCTGACAAGACAAGCCAGTGTGTTCTAACCCCTCTGTGTTTTTGTATAAAACCCTGTTCCCCTCCTCACTTCCGGGTCAAAGTGATTTGGTCTTGAGCTGACACTCTGACCACCGGGCAATAAACTTTGCTCTTTAAGATTTAGAGTTAAGTTCTTTCTCACTTGCGCTGCCACAACACTAGCCCTACCTGCGGTTTAACCCATTGCATCAAAGTCAAGCAATTGATGAGCTAGCAGGAATTGCCCATGTATTTAATTACCTTCCATCTGGAAGTTGTTCTTCAGGGTTGAGAGTTCTTATCAGGGCAGCTGAAATTTTTCGCACAGGAGTAAAATTGTGGATTCCCAATCTCATTTTGTAAAGTTTCGGGATAAATGGCCGGACAGAGGAGTTATGCAGGTTTTCACATAGCTCAGCAAAATCATTACTACTGGTACTGGCAAAGGTGAGAGTTTTGGGGTTTCTTTTTGTCTGTTATGAATGAATATGAAAGCCCCCAGTGTTTCAGTTCCATAATTTTTGACGACTTACCACTTTGAAAATACGTGTCCTGAAACAAGGCCAAAATCATCCTTACTTTAAACTTCCTGGAAAGAAGTCCCAAGGCTTGTGAATGACTCTGTCTCACATGACTGTCGCCTCCCCTCTAATATTAGGGTGAAGCGGAACTTCCAGCCTCCCCAGAGTTACCACTGCGGCCCCTGGTACAGGCACCAGCACGGCGGTTATCTAGCTTCTGGCTACAGCTGCAGCTGCGCGGTGGCTGGAAGGGGAGCCGGAGCCGGACTTTCTTCTGCGCGGGAGACCCCAGAACACTCAGCTGGAAGTTGGGCTATTCTGTCTGAGGTATCTCTTACTGAAGCTAATCCTCTGCCACTTGTGTGCCCGATATGTAAACATTATGATAATTTCTTCATTCACCCAAATCCTCTCATTCAAATTCCCACAGCCAGGCTTTGTTTTTGCTCCGTATGTTAACAGGAGCCCGGGCCGGATGGCTGCTAACGGAAGGGTTGGCAGGTTAAACCCACCAGCCCCACTCAAGGGGAAATGGCAATCTACTATTCTTTGCTAAAGTTTGCTGTGAGTGGGAATCTACTGGACAGCAATGGATTTGGTTTGGTTTATTGTTAATTCCAGGAGACCCTGGGTGGTGAAAATGGCTAAAATACTCAACTGATAGGTGAAAAGTTCGAAGTTCAAATCCACCTAGAAAGGCCTAGTAATCTACTTTCAAGAAATCAGCCATTGAAAGCCCTCTGGAGTACAGGTCTACTCTGACACGCGGAGGTTTGCCTCCATGGCAACTGGTAACCAGAACACTACCTGTTGACCCAAAGTTGTAATTTGCAAAACATGATACATCCTTACTCTCTTCCAAAAGCGAACGAATTCTTGTCCTTCAGATTTTACACTTAAACACTGAAATGTTAAGTTCTGTCAAGTCGGTTCCCACTCATAATGACCCTGTAGGGTTTTGAAGGAGCATCTGGTGGGTTTGAACTGCCGACCTTGTGATTCTCAGTCCAGTGCTGATCCTACAGCACCACACCAGGAGTCCAAACACTGAAAATAGCACAGGAAATTGTATTTTGATTTGTTTTGCTATAGAAACCATTAACACACTTAAAGAAGATTTAAAATACTCTGATTTTTTTAAGTTAATGTTTTTCAAGCCACACAAAGGTGCAATGAAAAAAGGGAAAGCCTCTCCCACCCCAAAATAACCTCCTCACCTATTGGACTCACTACTAATGGGGATCTTTGTCTTCTGGATTTCCGGTATCTTCCTGCTACTCCAGTAAGGCGCTCTGGTAGCGTAGTGGTTACAAGTCAGGCTGCTAACCTCAAGGTCTGCAGTTTGAAACTACCAGCCGTTCCATGGGAGAAAGATGAGGTTTTCTGCTCCCGTAAAGATTTACAGCTTCAGAAACCTTATACAGGGTCACTGTGAGTCAGAACTGACTCCATGGCACACCACACCACTCCAGTACACTGGGCTTTGTTTTTTTTTTTGCGGGGAGTTGAGATGTTTGGGGTGAGAATGGACTGTTATAGTGCTTAATGGTTTGCTCCTTGCTATCTTCTACTTTATCAGTTTTATGAAGAGCTTTCTATAAATTTAGTGCTGGATTTAACCGCCTCTCTAGCTAGTACCTTCACAAACTTTTACTTGTCTTGAAGCATTTGAACATTGGATGTGTGTGTAATAATAAATGTTTGAAAGTGGGTGTGGTCGTGTAATAATAAATGTTTGAAAGTGGGTGGGGTCGTGGTGTGAGTGGTAGGGCTGGATTATAGGATATAACAATATAACATTTACCATTGGTTATTTACTTACCAAAAAAGCATGCAGAGTCTGGTTTTAGAATTTACGTACTGAGCACTTGGTTTGTGCAAAGCTCTAGTTTGTTGTGGGAGCTGTAACTCGTTTTGAGTCTGCCACAAGTTCAGCTTTCTTTTGCATTCTTTCAGATCATTAACAGACATTGTAAAAAACTTTGCCTTCAGGCAGAGTGTGTTTGAAAATTGATTAAAACTCCCCTAAAACAACAACAACAACAACCAGCCCAGGAATGAGCTCTGGTAGCGTAGTGGTTACAAATCAGGCTGCGAACCGTAAGGTCAGCAGTTCAAAACTACCAGCTGCTCCGCGGGAGAAAGATGAGGCTTTCTGCTCCCGTAAATTACAGCCTCAGACGCTATGAGTCAGATCTGACTCCACGGCACATAACAACAACAACATGTCCTAGTGGAGAGTCCTGGTGTGGCACTGTGGGTTAATGCGTCAGATGGCAAAGTCATTTTAACTGTAAGGTCAGTGGTTTAAATTCACCAGCTGCTCCTTGGAAACCCTATACAGGGTCACTATGGGTCAGAACCGACTTGATGGCACTCAACAACAGTGTCCTAGTGTAAGGAGCTCTGGTAGCATAGTGATTATGAGTTGGGTTGCTAATCTCACGGTCAGCAGTTTGAAACTACCAGCTGTTCCACAGGAGAAAGATGAGGCTTTCTGCTCCCGTAAAGATTTACAGCCTCAGAAGCCCTATATTGGGTCACTATGAGTCGGCACATCACCACCACCACCACCACCATGTCCTAGTATGGTGTTGTAGCATAAGTTTGGCAGTTCAAACCCACCAACTGCTCCTTGGAAACCCTATACAGGGTCTCTGTGATTTGGAGAACCAACTCAACAGCAATTAACAACAACATAAAAAATACATTGACTCTTTGTGTGGCCTTGCAGGATCAGCACTGGACTCTGAACCATAAGATCAGTACATCAAAGTCATCAGCTCTTCTTCAGAAACCCTGTGCTAGGTCTTATGTGTTGGAACCGACTCCACGGGACTTAACAGCAACATCTCCTAGAACAGTTTATACTTTTCATCACTCTTGTGGGTGTGTTTGCTTCTTGGTGGTTTTTTTTTTTGTGTGTGTGTGTGTGTATGAACAGCCAGTCCCCAAACTGGGAAATTCACTTTACCTTTCACTGAGGGCAAATAACTACTTAACTGGTTCCTGTGTTCTCTGACCTTGTTGATGTCCTTTACCTGCCTTTCCTCTATTGGGTTGTGCTCCTTTTTCTTAATTGTATATTTATGGCATTGCTGTTGAGTCCGTTTTGACTCCTGTAACCAAGAACTGTGCTCCACACTGTTTTCAAGACTGTGACCTTTCAGAAGCAGATTGCCAGACATGTCTTCCAAGGTTCCTCTGGGTGGCTTCGAACTGTCAACTTTTCAGTTAGTTGGTCTAGCACTACCAAGGGACTCTTAAGATATTTACATATTAGGGAAATTAGCACTTTATTGTCAAAATGCTGTAAATACTGTCCCTAGTTTGTAGTTTCTTACGTATCCACAACCATACCTTTTCATGATGGCCTGTGCACTAACACCTAAATTGAATTTAGTATCTAGACCCTTGGTTTTTAAAAACTTGCTTTGCTAGATATTTTTGTCCCAGGCTTTCATTTGCAATTTTTAAAAAATCTGTTTTAGGTGTGTTTTCTTTTTAAATTAAATTCAGGTTTTACTCTTAACAGATAAACTTGCTGTTGAATCATTTTTGCATCATTTTTATCCCTCCATCTTTTGCCCTGTTTTCTGAGGTTTTGTTTTTACTTCCACCCCTCCCTTTTTGCTCTGTTTAGGAGATGGTCTGTCTGTTTTCTAGTAGTTACCAAGTCGGAAAGGAGAGGTTTGAGCACAAGTATCAGCTTAAAAAAATGAAAGTAGAGTGTCTCCTGGTTCTTCTCCACTTTAGGATAAAATGAAGAATGAGCACTCTTTTTATTCCCACTTACACCCTCTCTCTCCTTTCTTCTCTCCAGTTTTTGTTGGCACATTCTGGGATTTGTCTCCCTGCTCTCTTATCAAATTAGTCCCATAGCCTGCAGCTTTTCACTGGGGAACAATAAAGACACCGTGTATTCCCTGACGGTGGTTACCCCATTTGTGCCATCTGCCTGCCACACTGCTGGCAAGGCTACAGATGGTGCAACCCCCCTTCTGGTCATATTTCCTCATTTTAGTCTTCCCTAATAATGTGTGTCCTTTAGGAGCTGCCATAACTCTGTCCCCCACCTCTTTTCTGCTGTTCTTGGCCTCCTCTGAGCCCGTCTTGACTTAAATGTGACTTGCTTACAACCAGAGATAGCAGTTGCCTTGAAAATGGCTCTCATGTGGTGGGGGTCCATCGGCACCTCTCTTGCAAATGACCACAAACAGGAGGACACCATTTGTAGACTGAAGGGAGACCAGCAGTACACATCAGTGTTTCAGTTTGACTCAGTTCGGTGGAAATCTTGGAGGCATCTGCTATTGCTCTTCGGGGAGTTCGTGACGGGAGAGGGGGGGCAAGTCAGTGGTTACACACTGCTTGCTGCATGAGTTTGTAATGCCTTTATGTCACTTCCGGATAAAATGCTCTGCTCCCAGATGGTTTCTGTTCTCACCCTGGTAATTTAGGGTCTGCGCTTAACCACAGCATCTTCTAAAAAGGAGGAAATGTGAGGAGGAAACAAGAATGTTATATAATAGGAGAAGCATCATTTAAGCACAGAATCTGATTATCCTAGCCATACAAAAAATAGAGATGCTGTGATTTAAGTGACAGTAACCTGGTGTGGCACTGTTGAATAAGCACTGGACTGCTAACCACAAGGTTGGCTGTTCAAACCAATCATCCACTCCTTGGAAACCCTATACAGGGTCGTTATGAGTCAGAACTGACAGCAACAATCATATACTGTATTTTCTAAGACAGAACTCATTTCAGAGTGAAGGAGGAAACGTAAGTCCAGATCAATTGAAAAGGGGAGAGAGTGGATCTTTGGCCCTTAATAGAATCTCGTTCTTATTAACAAGGGACGCTTAACTAAGTTTATTGGTGCTAGAAGCTAAGCTGTCTTTCCTGGATGGTGTGGGTCTTTGAGATAGTTGTGCGTCCGCAACAAAAATGGCTTCTCAACAGGTATGGACAGAGACAAGTCGTTAACTCCAGCAGATCCAATGGGATCTGGGGTAACCAACCTGTTTATTCCAGGAGTGCGTTTAGGATTGACGTCTCTCATTGTGTAAGAATGTAACTAACAGGTTTGCTCTTCTGTAACCCCTACATTTCCTTAAGCATCTATTGCCCTGGTCCTTGGCTAGGGAGAGATTAAAAGACCCTGAGGAGAATGTGCTCCTACGGAATTTCCACTTTTCACCTGGAAGGAAGGGCAGAACTTCCAGTGGAGGGTGGGACAACCTAGTAGAGAGGTTAAGCAGTCTGGGTACCAGGGTCCTTAGGATGCCAATGAGTTTCTAGAAGCTTTTGGGAAGCCAGAGGCCTTTGTTGGGCTTGTTCCTCTTTTATAACTTGTCTTCTGTTGACTTAGATCACCCATTTCAATAGTTGTAGTATTACAGCATTTCAAAATTTTTCTAATAGAAATTCATAATCAATTTGAGTTCAAGGGAGGTTAGCGTTTTTAGATGTTATTTTTGAGAACTAGAATTGTTGAAGAAGACATGTGGTGATATTAAACATTTTGCTAGTAAAATTATATTTTCTTATGGCACTGCTTTGTTTCAGGGAGCCACTGCTCTGGCAGCTGAGAAGCAAGCTGAAGACCTATTGGAAGGTAACACAAACCTTGTGCTACAAGAGTTGAGAGCAGAACTTAACCCCATTTCCAGGCTACTTATTCACTCAACTGGTTAGAAACCGAGAGACCCAACTGGAAAATTCCAGTGTAGATTGCCTAAGCCAGTCCCTCCAGCAATTTGTCCTATTTTTGGAAACAGCTTCCATGGGAACTGCTTCAGCTAAACTGCTGCTCTAGGTCTTTCTGGAGGACTGAGAAATAGGGACATTCCCCAACAATAAAAAGCCAGTAAGTTGTTTTAAAGGTCCATTCCTCAATAACTTTAGACTCTGAGATTATGGGTGCTTTGATTTTGCTTTGTCAAAAGGCAGGACAAGTGCTGTGATCTTGGCTTCCAGTTTCCTGCCGGGGCATCGGCTCCTGGGGGACCTGACAGGCCCACTTGTGGTGTCAGGCCAATGACCGATCTGTCTGTGGTTTTTGGTCTGTTTTGAAAAGAACAAAGTTCATCTGCCTCTTACTGAATATGCCTATTTAAGGAAGAGACGAAAGCATTTTACTTCCCTTTATTATTGTTTCAGTTATGAGAAAAAGAAATAGAAGGGGACAGTATGCCCATTTCTCATCACATGTCTGTCTGTCTCTTTCCCTCCACCCCAACCCCCAGACAAATCCACAAAAAATCTTTGTGATTTTTATAAAAGAAGGAAGCAGTATTTGTCTTCATAGCCAGTTACTAATGTTGTGAAGTGCCATTTCTAACTCACAGCGACCCTGTATAAGGTTTCCAAGGCGTGCCTGGCGAGTTTGAACCACCAACCTTGTAGTTCAAACCGACCTTTCAGTCCAGTGCTTTATCCCACAGTGCAGTTACTAGAGTCTGAAATGCCAGTAGGTGCATTTTTCATATTTAAATGAAATTAAATTGATACTTAAAAGATCTCTTTAAATGCTATTGGACAGTTCTAGTTTTAGTGTTGTTGGTAAGTGCCATCCAGTCCATTTCAATTCATAGTGATCCTCTATAGGGTTTCCAAGGAATAGCTGGTGGGTTTGAACCACTGACCTTGTGGTTAGCTGTCCTGTGCTTATCCTACAACGCTACATCAGGACTAGTTTTAATATTCATATAGAAGTATGAATAAAGGGAGCTTATTCCAGCTCTCAAAGTCCCAGGGTAGTGCAAAAGAGTTAACATATTCAGCAGCTAACCAGAAGGTTGGAGGTTCAAGTCCACCCAGAGACATGTAGAAAGAGAGTGGGCAGTCTACTGCTGAAAAATAAGCCATTGAAAATCCTATGGCGCACAGTTCTACTCTGACACATGTGGAGTTACCACGAGTCCGTTCTGACTGGACAGCAACCGGTATTTCAGCTCTGGGCACACGGGGGATTCATTCTGGTTAAAGTGTGAGTGCAGCCTGCCCACCTGCTTCAGTTATGCAGTCAGTGTGAAGAATAACGGAGGAAAACATCAGATCAGAATATGCTGCTGGACACACATTGCCAGGGTTCAGATCCTACCTGTGGGCTTTGTGGTTCCAGACAAACTGCTTACTCTTCCATTGCGTCAGTTCTCCATCTGTAAAATGAGGAGTGTGAGGATGACAAACCTAAGGTGTTTTAGCAGTGTCTGGCTTACAATAACCAGTCCTGTATCAGCTAGTCATAGATCCAGAGCAACAGTGTCTGACAGAAATGTAATAGGAGCCCCACAACCACCCACACAGGTCATTTAAAAATTTCTAGTAGCCAAATTGAAAAAAAACAAAACAAAAAAACAAACAGGTAAGATTAAACCAAATACATTATTTAAATTAATCTAATACGCTAACATTATAATTTCAACATGTGATCAAAATTTTTTAAAAATATGGAATTTTTGCATTCTCTATTAAATGCCAAGTCTTTGAAATCCATGTGTATTTTCCACTGACAGCCCATCTCAGTTTGGACCAGACACATTTCAAGTGTCAAAAGTCACATGTGATAGGGGCTACCGTATTTGACAGCATAGGTATACTGGGCTCAACTTAAACTGTAGACTTAGGAAACAGGCAATTAGTTTATGTTTTATAGTGTGACACTGTAGGATCAGCAATGAACTGCTTACCATAAGCCCACCTGATGCTCCTTGGAAACCCTATACAGTTTCCGAGTCGGAATCAATTCAACAGCACTTACCAAAAATCACGTGTCAGTTCATGCCAGCATCACTGGAAGGACCTCGATGGTACAATCTGAGTTTCAGAGCTGATCAGAATGTGACTGCTTTTCAGGCCACAGGGTGGGACACTGTAAAACAGAAGAACCAGACAACCCAGTCACCAATGCCTCCAGTGAAGAAAATTGAGAAGTAGTTCACAAACTTATGACGGCCAAGAACTTTTTTGATGATTTCCGTTCTAGAACAATAAAGACAGACAAACACATAAATACAAATGAATGGCATGATGTCCTTCTCTAGGGACTGGTCCCTCCTGGTAATTGTGGTAGGAGACACACAATCTCACCATGCTCTATTCTAAGGAACATTTTGGCTGTACTATGCTCTTCTTAGCGTAGTGGTTACGAATTGGGCTGCGAACCTTAAGGTCAGCGGTTCGAAACTACCAGCCGCTCCGTGGGAGAAAGATGAGGCTTTCTACTCCCGTAAAGATTTACACCCTCGGAAACCCTGTACAGGGTCGCTATGGGTCGTAACCGACTCGACGGCACTTAACAACAACAACAACAATGCTCTTCTTATTCATTGTCCAACTTTCTCATGCATTTGAAGCTACTAAAAATAGCATGACTTGAGTCAGGTGCACCTTAGTCTTTAACACTTTACTCTAACACTTAAAGAGGTCTTGTGTAGCAGATTTGCCTAATGGAATACGCCATTTGATTTCTTGACTACTGCTTCCATGAGTACTGATAGTTGGATCCAAGCAAAATGAATTATTTGACAACTTCATTCTTTCCTCTGTTTATCATGTTATTCACTGCTCCGGTTATGAAGATTTTTGTTTCTTTACATTGAGATGCAGCCCATACTGAAGGCTGTGCTCTTTGATCTTCATCATTAAGTATTTTAAATCCTCTTCGTTTTCAGCAAGGAAGTTTGTGTCATCTGCATGCAGGTAGTTAATGAGTCTTCCTCCAATCCTGATGCTACATTCTTTTTCCTTTAATTCAGCTTCTTGGACCTTAGGTAGAAGGAGAGAAACAAATGGATTGCATTAAAAAAGTCAAGGACCTTGACAAAGTTGAAAACCTCTGAAAACATGGTTTAATGACAATCAAGTTCTAATGTCCTTGTGTGGTGCTGTAGGATAAGCACTGGACTGCTAACATCAAGGTCAGTGGTTCAAATCCACTAGCCACTCCTGGGAAACCCTATACAGGTTCACTGTGAGTTGGAAAGGACTCAACAGCACTTAACAACAACACATTCATGCTAGTATAATGCCACCTCCTCATTACGGATTCCACATCTCAGAGAAGGATGGTCCTCCCATGGTTATGAAATACTTGCTACAAATAGTTTATTCATTTACATCAGTTTAACTAAGCAGGTAAAGCAGCAGTTTTGTTTCAAAACCCTGTCATACCGGCCTGATCCTGGGCACTGTCTCCAGCCAGGTCCTGTGTCAGAAGTAAAAGACTCGCCTTGACTCTCCCTTCTCTTTCTCCTCAATTTGAATCTATCTCCAAGTATTGTCCAGTTCATCTCCACACCATCTCTAGGTTCTGCTCATTGAATCTAGTAGCAACTCTACTTTTTATATTTAAATCTCAAATTTCAAGTCAGATTGGAGGGAAGCACATAATTTTTAAAAATTAACATTTAATGGCAGTCCTGGTGTGGTGCTATAGGATAAGCACTGGACTGCTAACTGTAACACTTAACAACAGTACTTCCTGCTAATGCCCTGGTGTGGCGCTGTAGGATCATCATTGAACTGTAAATCACAAGGTCGGTAGTTCAAACCCACCAGCTGCTCCTCGGAAACCGTATTCCAGGTTACTATGCGTCAGAACTGACGCAACAGCACTTAATACTTCTTGCTAATGTTAAACACACACAACCTTTAATTTTAAGCTCTTTTCAATATGTGCCCTATAAAAACTCTCTTTTCATATATGCATTACTGACTTCTGCAGACCCTCACCGTCACTGCTCTATCGAGCTATTAAACCAGGAGTTTATGGTGAGAAGTGAAGAAGTCTACGACGCCCTCATGAACTGCCATTGGCAACCTCTGGATACAGTTCACTCTGAAATCCCAGGGAAGACTCCAAAGTGAGACAACACGTTCATGCTGCTCCTAAAAATCTTACTAATTCTGTCTTGTTCTTGTTTTTTTTTTTCCCCTCCACAGGGTGGGAGTAAAAGGTATTCTCTCAGAAATGTATTCTGTTCATAATGTACTGGATTCTCTTTGTAAATAAAATACAAACTTCCAAGCACTTCAATGTGATTGGCATGATCAAATGTGACCATTATATTGGAAATAAACTTAAATGTGCAATCCTGGGAGTGTAGTCTGTTCAAGAAGTGCCAGAGAATGCTCATCATTATCATGGTAGAAGGAGCTGCATGTAAAATACTTACAGCAGGAGACGGGCTGGCCTGCACTGATTGTGGCCTTAGCTACAATGATGGCGAGTGTCTTTGTTTCTTAGTGCAACTATAACAGAAATACCACAGGTGGGTGGCTTTCACAAACAAATTTATTTTCTCACAGTTGTTGTTAGGTGCCATCAAGTCAGTACTGACTCATAGTGACACTATGCACAACAGAACAAAACACTGCCTGGTCCTGGGTCAACCTCACAATTGTTGCCA